AATGCACAAGTAACAGCAAATTCTTCAAGTTTTTGTTAGGTATCCTAGTTAACTATGAATTATTATTACTACCCAAACACTTCATTTCATGTCTGCCCAAGCTGAAACATATTTCAAAACCCTGCAGAGATCTATCCAAGACAAAAGCATGTGTGCAGCATATAAATTTGACTTTTATCAGCGGATATGGTTCGACCATTACAAATTCCATTGTGAAGAGGCAACCTAGCTAGCCAATATGTCATGTCATTATCTTTCTTTGTGTCTTGCATGGCGTGTTCTCATTGGAAGGTCATCTTCTATATAGTGGCACAATGATGGTATGTGCCTGTCGTCAAAGCTGCCTCCAACTCAACTTTCTCCTTGCTTGTGTCCAATTTGATAAGCTCTGAAATTGCGGGGAATTTCTCAAATAAATTTATTTGAACGATTTTTTTATGAAATTAATTACAAATTTTATTTTAACGATTCAAATATGAATACGGTCCTTTAAAATGATGCTAAAATGAAAATCCCTTAATTGAGGGGTTAAGTAATTTTAGATTCAAATGATTTTTTTACATAAATAATATTTCAATAAATATATAAAAAGAGACAATTCAGATCATTGAAATACAACATGAGAGATCTTTCAATTGAATATAGAACTTCATAACTCTGAAATTCGAAGTTTTTGTACACGCACGCAAAAGGCCAAGTCTAAAAAGCTCGTTGAGCACTGCACGTATTAAACAAGGACACAAAGTTTGGTCAACATAAAAGTTCAATCACAATACGAAACCCACCTGTTGTGTGTGATTAGTTGTTGTGCGATTGGGTGATGACTTGGTTTCACGTAATTGGTTCTAGCTAGCTAAGCTATAGTAGTCAATTTACAAATCAAACTTTTACGGATAGCTAGAATCCCATCAAGATTTCCTTTAAAGATGGGATAGAGAGATGAAAAGCAATTCCATTCTAAACTTCCAAACAAATTCTTGGTGGGAGATTTGGAGTTGTTATTAGGCAGATTTGAAGGGGTCCATTATTTCTTTCCACTAACTTGTTCATTTTCATATTAATTATCTTGTATAGGTCTATCCATAATCCTGACCAAAGAAAAGGTCTATCCATATCCAATTGGGAGGTTATTGTTCTCTGCCTCCTTCCTAGGAAACTGCTTCTATTTTTGACCTACGGATTGAACAAAGCAACAACTTCTACTTTGTTTCTTTCTGTAATTTTTCAAGTGGGCACCAATCATCTCAATTTAGCATATTATCCACTTTCTCTTGTGGTTGATTGATTTTTTTTTTAGGGTTGATGATTGGCCTAAAATTAAGGTGTTGATGTGACAAAGGAGCATGGAAAAAATGTTTAAGACTTTATTTTCTAATTTCCCATCTTGTGTTCTTGAAAGGCCATGCCATCAACAAGGTCATTGCCTTCCATTGCCACTCAATACCAAATTAAGCAGCAGTGGAAAGGAGTAGGAAGAGAGGTTTTTTGTCCTTTATATTAATATCTTCTCAATGCTCAGTTTTTGGGGCTAATTAATTAGTGACCAAATTTATATGGATGAAGAGGCTTACTTGGTTTTTTCTTTTTGACAAACGAAAGGGAGATTGCATTCATAAATCACGCCAAAGAGGCTTACGTGGTTGAGTGAATTAATCTATTATATATATAAAGGTAATTTATGAGAAATTTCATCTTATTTATTATTTCCTTCATTTGATTAAATATCCATTAGTATGAAGTTGTGGTAAACTCTTGGTCAATTACACCAACCCATCATCAAATATATGGAACAATCAAAGGGGAAGATACCAAGCAGCCAATCAAAGTGGTCATATGGATTGGACTATTTCTACATAAAGTTTACCTTTTCTTCTCAATTTACATAGACTTGCGTAAATTCTAATCCTATCTTTGTTGAGTTTGATTGAGCAATGCACTAATTTTTCTAGGAAGCTGACCTAGCGATTTAACTATATATTCTATTCTTTTACCAAGAATATTAATATGAACTTTGACATAATTGCCAAATAATGACACCAAGTCGGCAGTCTATATTTCTTAGGGTTTGATTTGAAATATGTGGCTACATAATGACCAACTGTAGGTTTTGTTACAAGAATAAATAGTATTTATCTTCCTATTGGTTGTCTCTGGCAAGTTAGGTACTCTGCAGGCCACTAATAAAAGTCAATTACTTTGAAAAGTTTTATTTTACACAAGCGGGATCAGTTATTTTCTCACACATACTATTAAAGTGTCATGAAAATTCGAACATGAGAGCACTCGTTGGTCTCAGATTTGCAATGGGGAAAATTACTTCAAGTTTGCAATGGATAATACAGTAGTGCACTAAACAAATGGAAGAAAAAGAGATTTTACCCCTTAAACCCTAATTCAAGTCTTGCCAATTTAATTTATTAATTTTGAGTTTTCAACCATCGTGATTGCAGTTAAAGCAATTAGTTTTGGATGGGTGAAAAGTGGTTGATGTTTTATGAAGCCTTGCAATGCACACAAAGAAAGAGTCCCAAAAGAGCAATTAACATAAGTGTTCTCTTTTGTTTTTGGGAAAATAATATTGAAATTTTATACACGTTTTCACAATTCCTTGTGTTAGGTCATGACATTTCAATTTTTTTGGACATACTAAATTGCATAAAACGACATTTTACAACTTGCAATTTATCTTCTCTAGCATAAATATTTTCTTCTTTCTTACCAGACACAGCATTTATAATTTGAACCCTAACTTTCTTGGAAACCCTAGTTTGACGAAGGCAATATAAGGGGACACAGTTGGGTTTTGTACTCCATATCCAGGAGGGCCAGGACCAATTGCCTTAAACATGAAAGCTACCACCTAGTGAGGCCCATAGGCTCAAATCATGATGTAGTATGTTGACTTCGCCATTTACCTAACAATGTGTCTCAGCCTTATCCATTATGCACTCCTTTATATTTTGTTCTTTTATTCACATAAACTTCAATGCAATTTCCAAATTTATTCTCAATTATTAATGGCAAAAAAGTAATTTGAAGTTGCCAACTAGGTCTATAATAAACGTGTCAAGAATGCTAAACTCAAACCCGACCTATTTAATAAACTTTTCGATTTCGGAAATTCGGACCGTGTTAAACATGATAAAAATGTAGAGAAAAAAAAAGTGATAACAATTAGTAAATTTTTTTGGGGGTAAAAAGGTCGTAGCAACTAGTAACTATCAAGCTAAAAATGTAGACAAAAAAAAGTTTCTTATGTTTTTTTTTTTCAGAATTATGAACGAATAAAAAGAAAGAATAACTTGAATGGCACATACGAGAATCATTTGCATACTGGAGTATTCGGCAATAAGTAAAAACAAATACAAAAAGAATACAAAAAACCAACGAAGATTCACATCTCAAATTTACAAGGTCATTAAAAAACGAATAAAAAATCTGAATTTTGATAATTTAATCAAGTAATTGCAGTTTGCAAATTTTTTACTTTTTATTATATTAAAATAGTGATTACATTTTGTCTCTATATATGTATGAAAATTGAGAAAGATAAATAATAAAAAATAATAAAAAAGAGAAAAATGAAGAAAATGAAGAAGAAACAAAGAAACATGTTGGTGGGTTGGTGAGTATTACAAGGATTGACACAATCCATGACAAGACCCTTTTAATAAACGGATTACATAGGTATTTTAGTGGGTTGACTCGAAACTCACCCGTTTATTAAACTGCTCATGGCAGGTTGACTCGAAAATGAGCCTAAAATTTTAATTGTTTGGGTTGCCCCGCTAGTTTTTTGTGCAGGTTTCGAGTCGTGTATCAGGTTGTATCGGAAATGACTCGAAAAATTTAATCGTGCCAATTGAAAAGGGCTTTGACTTGCAGACTAATGATTTCAGGTTTGATGCCCCATGACACCATGATTGTGTGTGCGCGAGAAACCCTCTCCCATGTAGTTTAGAGTATTGCTTGTACTTAAAAAACAAGTAATTTGAAGTTTTAAAGTGTTAAATAAAATTGAAGGTATATCTGGAAATTGCATTGGTAAAATGAAAATATAAGAATATTTTTCGTGAGGCTGACTTGGTTTTGCAAATTTGATCGTTGAAGGAGATTCTCAGATTCTAATTCGTTTTCTCCAACAAGATCATAGCTTGGCACATCATTTTCTCTTTCAGGATATCAAACATCTTCTTCAAGAGGCTCAAGTTCAACAAGTCCGGCACATATTTCGCGAAGCTAATTTTGCAGTAGATGTTATAGCCATTCTCAAACTCAGCCTTACATTTGGTTATCCCTTTGCTATGGCTTGTATATTTATGTACGATATTCGGAATTTAGTAATTCAGCGAGAATTCTCTCAATAATTTTATTGTGAACAAAAAAAAAAAACACTAACATTCTTAAAGAAATAAAAATAAAACTACTTAAAGTTACCATTGCATGTGTCCTCTCAAATGTAACTTCTGACCTAGACATATTTATCCAGTTGGCCAGTGCAGTTTGCCCTTGCACCAAAGTTGTTCGAATTGTCCTCCCGTAGATTAGAGTAGTTTAGAATGAAGGAAAAGAAAATAAGTCCAATACACTTTATCCTAGCATTTTACACACCCAGTGCACCTTTCTCATATCTAACCCTGGTCTGCTCCACATAGAAGGGAATTGAGAAGCATTCAGCAATGCTTCCCAGCTTCTACTTTAAAGATGGACTCGATCACTTTTACAATGTTATATCTTCACATTTTGATTTCATAAAATGCATAAAACCAACCATAACAACAATCTCCACTATTTCAATATAAAAATCTTGAATTCTTCTACACCAATGTAGCTCAAGTGAAAAGAATGCCGCAGTGAATTAGAAACCGATTAGTAGCACAGAGCCTGTGGTGCAATTACAACATATATGGTACATAAATATATTACAATATGCAACCCTTATTTAAAAGATCAAATGATACAAGAATGAATCTGCAATTCTTCAACCATCACTCAAATGATCACTGTGGCATGAAGATGTTGACAATAGCATTCCAGTAGCCAACCAGCTGAAGAGAAAAGATTTCAATCAAATCACACAATAGATGATGTCCGGTGAGCAGGCAGAGCCTAAGTTATCAACCAATGAACTGGTGTGTGCGTGTGAAATCACAATGTAGATGTGCACAGAAAAGCCAGTAAAGTAGCTTAACCTGGTCCAGAATGCTTTTTCCAGTTTGAGCTTCAATAACCAAGCCTGCAGTAAGACCAATCATTGCCCATGCACCATTAATTGCTTCTATTTGACGTTTTCTCTGTAATCACAGCATTACTTTTAGGAAAGAAAAAAAAAAAAAAAAAAAATTAACTATGTATGATGGGTAATAAGTAAGATTGAGCTGTGACATCAACTGACCCCAGTTATCTTGCATTTTGTGATATAAAAGGAAAATAAACAAGAACGAAAACAAGGATTGGGGCCTCATCAAGGAACCAACTTTTTATTTATTTTTTTTGTCGAAAAGGAACCAACTCTTGTTTTAAAAGAAATCAATATTACCTAGGCTAGAGAAGACTGAAATATTTACATAGATACATGAAGAATATGGGTAAGAAATTCAATTCAGAGCTGTTTTAATATTAGTTCCAATCAAAGTAAAAGCAGCAATTTGTCAACTAATAACTGAGGATACTGAAGTTTGTCAGACAAGTCATTTTCATACACGTTATCTTAACAATGCATGCAATTCTTTAACCTTGTACTTCTCTTTTGCTTTGATTTCTTCCATTTGCTTGGCAGCCAACCGCTTGGCTTCCAAAGGATCAACCATGATCACTTCATTACTTGAGTCTCTTTTCTTTGAAGAGACCTGTAGCAAAACAAAACACAAATCATGCATCAGAAAACGACAAAAAAAAAAGCATGAATTTCCTTTTTCTTACGTTAATTAGCAATAGAAAGAAGAAATGTAACACGAAAAACCAATTTTTCCGCACTTAGCTTCAATTGGATCATGTGGTAAGGTCAACCATTGACAAAAAAAGAAAACGATAAGGTTGTCAACTGCACATCAAATGAAAATTGAAAGATGCAACTTGATTGACTTCTAAATGACTTTGGATGTGAATTTTGCTAAGATTCTGAAAATACTAAGCTATTATATAGTAAGGCATAGACAGACTACATCAACTCAACATCCTTATTTGCAGCTTGAGCCACTAAACAGAAATTGATTACTTATATTCAGGAGATGAATTACCAATTGTATTGAACAAGAATGAACATCCTTGTTGGAACCTGCTCAACTTTTAAGGAGGTATAGCAAGCACATTGTGTATTCCTGATGAATGAACGAAGAATTGGTGAAATGCAGTACTTTGGTTATCTTGATGATTGCACTTTAATTTAATTTCTAGAGATTACTTTTTGAACAAATTAGAACACTCAAAGGAGAAGAGGAATTTAAGTATCTGCATCAGGCAGCAGTACAACTGTGAAAGATGGAATTTCACTTAAAGTCTTAAACCCCAACCCAAATGCAATCAATATTACCTTCTGAGCAAATATTTTCCTACTGGGGCTTTTGTCTGCACTACTTGATATGAAAGTTTGACAAACTGATGGTTTCATGCATAATTAAGTAACCAAGCAATTAACTATGAAGCATCTATATCTAGAATCTAGACATCCTGCTATCTCAACACTCATTGATTAAACCACCAACTACATACCTAAATAATCTTTGACCATATTCAAACCAAATATATTGGTGTTATACATGTGGAATCCTTGAGTTGATGCATACATTAGGATTGGACAAAATTTGAAGAGCATGGCCATTGGTTCTGTAAGCAACTACATTTCCACCTTGTTGTCTTCTCCATCCCCACCTGTAAAAAATAAAATAGAAAAAATAAAAATCTAAAATATTGTAAGTGAGAAACAAGCTAAGAAATTTAGCCTTAAAATCCTCAATCATATAAGAACCATCAGTGAACAGATAACTACACTAACTGAGAGTTCTAGGACAGATGGGCATCCAGTGATGGAGAAGACCATCTTATACTCTATCCAATTTGTGTTCATATTTACATTCTTCACTGGGGATCCATGTATCACTACAGAATATAGTGCTCGTCCCAAGCCACATCAAGTGAAGTCAAAAGTCATTAATTGCATAATGCATAGAAATTTCTTTACTTTTCTTTGACACTCTTTCACCACTAAAAATGCTAGAAAAAGATTCAAAAACTCCCCCAAAAGAACCAAAAGAGCCTGCAAAGTGTAATCTTTCAACTTCATGGTAACTCCTCCCTCCCTCGTTATCACTCCCTCTCCTTCTCTCTCTTTCTCATATTATTGTTAACAAAGAAGGCTGTAAACACAGGAAAACACTTGGACTAATGCATCTCTAAAGTGCACTACTATTAAACTCAGAAACCCACTCAAACACTCGGATTAATGCATTTTCACTAAACACCACACTCTTGCAAGTCCGCCCAATTTTTCTAAATGTGATAAACTTAAATCACAGGAAAAGATAGTACAGTCTGGGACTAATAAAAAATCCTTAAACAGAAAAAAAAAAAACAACCATTGTTTGATGTCATGAAAAAAGAAAAGGAAGACAGATTTTCTGTTTTCTTTATATGGTTAAGTTCTTTGACGCCCGAATTTGCGGCTGATGAAAGTTTAAATTTTCATTTTCTTTATGTTCTTTTCCCAACGATTTCTTCAGCAAACAAGTAGAAGAAAAAGAAACATTATCCAGTAGCAAAAAAAATCTCCAAATAATACATAAATCTACGTGCTAGCCGTAAATGGTAAAATGGGTATTTGAGATTAAGGATTGCAAGCTCCACACAGATTAAAGTTCTTCTCTTTCGTTTTTTCATTTTCTCAACAGCCAAACATAAAGTGAATAGAAATTAAGAAACGAGAAGATTATTCAACATACTAGAGCAAATATAGAAATGGGTTGGTGCGTTTAATCCTTAAAACAAAAAAGTTTAATATTTTCTTTTACAAGAAATCACCCGGCAGAGAGCAGAGAGGTGAAGAAAATCTGAGAATTGGAGTGAAAAGAGAAATGGTTTGGGAAGATAGAGGATGGGACTTACTTGTAGAGAGTTGCAGAAGGATGGTAATTGGGAAAGGATGAGCCTTGAGTGAAGAGAAGGTGGCCTCCATTGATAGGTAGCAGAGATGTGGACGACATCTTCAGCTCTTTCTTACGTGTTCTTTTCTTCTCTACCGATTTCGGTTTAGATATTCACAATTTGATCAAAAAAGAAAATTTATATTCACAATTTTAATTTTTTTAAAGAGTAATTTTTCACTTTTACCCCTTAACTTTCTCCTTGCGAAAATCCCTCAAAATAAAAACCTGGGGTGCGAAAAAGAAAAACTTTTAAATTGAAGTGCAAGGTTGAGCCAATTTCATGGCCAGTTGACTAAAAGCCCAACCGTCAAAGCCAGCTTAGATGGCTACAACCCAACCATGGTATGTCCAAGGCCCAAAAGCCCATCGGACAGAACCAATTTTTAACAAGAAACATTGACCAACTTGGTCAGCTACCGTTGCTTTTACCCGGTTAAAAGCGCGAACATCCAGATTTAAACTCAAAGTCGATTTCGACAGCTGATGGAACATCAGGTATGAAGGTAAAATATCCCATAACATTAGTTTTCACTTTTCAATGTTGCAAAAACCCTTTGCCGTCTACAAAGGTTAATTGAATTATATGTTTGTATCGGCATGGTACATGATAGTTCATCATATACAAGAGTTGCAGAGAGTACTTCGTCAAGCCTCAACATATATTCTCATGCCTTTACTCTAGTCACCAATCAGTGCCAATTGGAGCCTAGGTTGCATCTAAAACTTTTACAGGCCTAAACAACATATATATGGTATACATCTGAAATTACTTACTATATATATACGAGAGCCCTCAAGTGCTAGCCGGTTAGTAAGTTAATATGACGCTAACTGCTTGTTTGGCCTACTCTATAATGTCATCATATGATCCGAACCATTCAACTTTGAAGTCATCATTCAAAAATCACCATTACAAAAAAAATAGTCAAATCCGAAATTGTTTCACCATTTGATTATTATTGGAAATATTTTCCTTCAAGGGAATTATGTGGGTACAATACAAGTAAAAGACCGTAAAATATTGAAAAACAGACATCCCTTCGTCATGGTGCATCTGCACAGAGAAGTGGAGTGGACTCGGTAAAGGCCACTTTAGTATATTCCGTGCTTGGTTTCCTTTCAACCTCTTCTCCATGAGTCTTCTTGCACTCATAGTAGAGGACTGTGTATGACATGTATAAAAACATGGTGATCAGGCAGGTTATAGAATATGAGAAGAGAGATGGAACCATTCTTGCATTCTCTGGAAAGGCTACAGTCCCAATCGTCACCAAACCACTGAACATAGACATAGAGAATGCTACAAAAAGATTCAGAAAAAACCCACGTAGCTTTGATCCCTTGACAAGGCGTGCAGCTTTTCCAAGAGCCTCAATGCCACATATGTCTTCCAGTACCGAAACAACGAGGGCTAAACTCCAGACAACATCTAGATAAGTTCGGAAAAATAGAGCTACAACCAATAAGATCATAGAGAAAGCCAGTATAGTGAATGTAATATTGAAAATCAGCACTAGTAAAAGAAGCAGAAGTGCTACTAGAAGACAATAGCCTAGATCAAGCAGCTTTATGTATAACCAACTGACAACCGTTCTCTTCATCGATTTCACTGCCCGTAATAGAAGTTCCTTGGTAGATAAGTCTTTTCTGCAGTACGTTACTGCAGATCCTATGATTGAAGCTGTTACGAAGAATAACGAGATAAAAGAGAACGCACAAAAGAAAATAAACGCTAGTCCAGCATATAACCGGAGGTTATCTGTCATAGTAAACAGAAGGTTGGTCAATTCGGCGCTAGTGGTGGTATTATTAACTTGTAGACTCTTTGCTTTGGTGGAAAGTACTTTGATGCAGATTTTAAAAAAAACCATGAGGATAGAATCAAGAAAAATTACAAGCAGTGTGACGGAAGACATGAGCTTCAAATTTTTGGGAAAAAGTTTCGAGACGTCCCTTACCATTCTCAGAAAATCCAGAAGCATATGAAACCCCATTAGGAATGGAAGATGTATATTCTTCAAACCAATATTTCCTACCATTGTAGGTTTGTGTCAAGTTTGAAAACTAACACTCACTTCTATCACACTCTCAAAGAAACATTGAAAAGGAAGGAGCAGAGAAGATTTAATTTCCAGAACTTGATGCACAACAGAATGGTTTGGCAGCTTTATATAGGAGAGACTAATGAAGAAGGAAATTAATAAAATGGTGGTGAATACAAGGGGAGAGTGAAAACAATGTACAACTGTGTGAAAAATAATAATAATACATGTCACAATCATCAAAGCTTTTGATTAGTTTTTATCTTTCGAACGTTGCCCCTCAAATTAAAATGGTTTTAGGCCGAAGCATTTCTTTTAAATTGGCTTAGCAGAGATGTTAGCCACTTGCTCTATGGCTTGACAAACGTTTTAATTTTGCTTCACATGGTCCCTGAAAAGAGGAAACTTTGTGTCGATATATTATATGTTTGATTCTTATGTCATGTTCTACAGATTTGTTTGTTGCGCAGAGAAAACGGGGGTGTTGACAATATTAAACTATTGTCCATGATCTTGATCATCTTGATGTTTCCGAAGGTCTCTTTCATGCATTTCTAATAGGACAATACCAGTCAATTTTCAGCCATATCAAAATCTGGTTGCTTGAATTATGCAAACAGTTCTTCACTATTTCCTTTTGTAGCAGATCATCAACATCAAGATAAATTATTAGAAATTCACCCTTATTGCCCTCTTCCACAGGTAGACAGAATGTGAATCCATTTTGTTGGAGGTAATTGTCCGTACAAGCCTGTAATCCATACAAGGCCAGCTTAGACGTTCAAAAGAAATGGATGCTATTGTTTTTAACCTTGCTGCTCTTGTTTTAAGAAGACAAAAAAGTATTGCATCAGATTTCAAAGGAACATATTCTCTTGTTCTAATCACCTTGCTTCATGGTTTATCGTATGTTTGATTCATGATAGGTTTGCACCGTCACGGTTGATACATCAAGGTTCATCTGTTAGAACAAAGTTGCAGGGTACAATTAATAAGGAAAAAAAACATCAACCATGCTAAGGATTGCAATTACTGGACTGACTACTTCTATTCAAGAGCCTGATGAGAAGGCATTATTTTGACGGTTTCAACTCATTTTTTACTTGCCAATATAGCACCAAGGAGACTTATTCCTATCCTTGTACCCCGAAGTGTTTCAGGCCTAAATAACAGATGTTGTATATGTAAATTATTAGAATTTAGCAGGCAATAAAATTATTAACTTTATGTATATAAATTAGCTAGAGCTGCAGAAAATATGATTACAATACAAGCAAGAACTTTAAAATATTAGAAATACAGACATCCTTCATCATGTTGCATCTGCACTGATAAGTGGGGTAAAAGCCACTTTAGTATATTTAGTGCCTTCTTGCATTTCAAGCTCTTCTCCATGAGTCTCCTTGCACTCATGATAGAGGACTGTGTATGTCGTTAGCTTAAACATCTCGATCAGGCAGTACATGGAATTCAAGAGGAGCAATGGAATCATGGCTGCATTTTCTGACATAAGGACACCACAGAACACAGAAAGAGAGAGTGCTCCAAACAAAATATTTAGGGAAAATCCGTGCCGCTTGATCCTTTGATAAGCTGTTCAGCCTTCCCAAGTGTTAGAATTTGGTATTTTGTTTGCTGGTTTTAGTGCCTGATTCACAGAAACCAATAGAACCAGTATATGCAACGTATGCAGAGGAGAGAAAACTCAGAGAGAATGAGAATGCTTTTTGTCTGTATGTCTTCTATTGCATCAGAGCCAAAAAAACACAATATAAGCATGACACAAGCTGCCAAAAACAAATCCTAAAAACTAGGATACAAGGACTCATCTCCAGCCATTCAAGGTCATTGGAGGCTACGATTCTTACACCTAGGATAGAAATTGTTACAGCATAAAGGACTAAGACAGCTAAGAATGACAGCTGTAAAATTTCCTAAAATAGTAAGAAAACTAGCTGTTGGACATATCCTATAACAGCTATTACTATAAAAGGAAAGTTCTTCAGTTCCTTCGATTTCATCATCCTATTCATTGTCAATCTGCAGGATTAACATCTGCAGCTTGATTCAAAACTAGTATGCAGCTTAACTCTCAACACCAAGTGCCTCGATCCCACATATTTTTTCGAGTACTGAAACAAGTGCTAAGTTCCAAACAACAGCTAGATAAGCTTGGAAAACTAGAGCTAGAAGGAATACGGTTATAGAGAAAGCGACCGTAGTGAATGTAAGATCAAAAATCAGCAAGGAAGGAACTAGAAATGCTATAAAAAATAGACAATAGCCCAGATGAAGCAGGGTTATGTAAAACCAAGTAAGAAATAGCCTTTTTAATGATTTCACAGCCGTTGATAAAAGTTCCTAGATAGACAAGTCTTTTCCACAATATGTTACTGCTGATGCTGAGATTGAAGCTGTTGCAAAGAACAACCAGGCAAAACAGAATGTGAAAATGAAAATCCATTCTAGTCTAGCAAATAACCGGAGGTGGTCTTTCAAAGTATTCAGAAGGTTTGCGAATTCAGGGGTACGTACCCGCATCCATAGCTGGTACGAGGCTTGTCTCGTGGGCAAAATCAGTGATTAGTTGTTTGATGGAGAACATATTACTCATGAAGAGAATAAAGCTAAGAGAAATTATGAGTAGGAAGATGGAGAACATGAGCTTCACATTTCGGAAGAAAAGTTTCTGGGCTTCCCATAGAGTTCCCAAAAGTTCCAAAAGCATAAAAGACTCCATTATGAAAAAATAAAAAGGAAAAAGATTGGTATTCTTCAAAGCTTCTTCTCTTGCATTGCAAAAGAGCACAAGGCATAGTCTACTTATACTGTGGCTTGGGTCAATTCTATTCCTACTACATTTACAAAGAAAGTAGGAAAAAATTTGCCTTATGCACGAAGGAACCAAACATTCCACACTCAACAATCTGTTTATTGCGTAGGGACTATTCTTGCTTTCCTGTAAGCTCGTTCAAATCCGAGACCTGCTAGAGACCAGTTTGAATGGGATAAAAAACAAAATAGTGAGAGGGACAAGCCTATAGATAAAAAAGTAAATGCGGCATTTTTGCCATAAATACGACATGATTAAAATTCTTAGAGCATCTCTAAACCAGATGTTAAATTGTCACATAAACACATAAACTATCAAATTCAAATTTAACGCACTTACACTTTGCATTCAATTTTCTAAAAAATATATATAAAGCTTGATTTAAGTCTTAAAAATTATATTGCCCCAAAATGGTGTAAGAGTGATTCAGGGCTAGCCCCATGAGTTCCTTTCCATCACTTCTTTCACAAGCCAGGTTGACATATCATTCGCAGTGTCCAAAGTCCAAACCAAACTGTGTAGGTCCATCTTCATCTCATCCTCCCAGAAAATCCCTCCTTGTTCACATTTTCGTTCACACGTTGTTGGATCTCGCATGTGTTTCAGTAGAAGTGTCAACACTAGAGGTTGGCTTAATGACAGAGTTGGTTCCGGTCAAAATTAGGCCAACCCAAATCATGGACACGAATCGATTCGTATTTTCCTCTGTAGTTTTATATTTCTAGTAGGGATGTGCAAGATCCAATTCAATTCGTTCAAATCAACCGATCCAATTCAATTTAATTTAATTTTAATCGATTTCGATGATTTAGCGAATCAGAACGGATCACTAATTTCCAAAAGCGACATGATTAGATCGGAGGACAGATTTGCTTGTGAGAATCCAAACAAATCTAGTTAATTTTATGCTTATGTTGCTCTTGTAGGTATTTGTAATTGAAAAATTTATGAACCTTTGAAGTCATTTGATGGAGTTATGTTTAATATATTATAGAATCAAAACAATTTTCTCTAGCATTTCATTTATATTTTACATTTTACATGTATTAATATGTTTCATTAGATTCAACCTAATGTTAGATGTTTCATATATTGTTTTTGGTTGCATTGAGAGGAAAGAAACTATGGGGTTTCGATCCTAGGTGCCAAACATGTGGGAAGGGGAGGGCCACAACCACTGTGGTAATCCCGCATTGGCTTAGATATTTCATATTTCGTAATTGTCTTTCTTTATTATCAAAACAGATCATCCAATCCAATTCAATTCAATATTACTTCGATCGGATTGGATTAGATTTAAAATTGTTATCTAATTGGATTGGAAAATCACAATCCAATCTATATTGGATCGAATGCAGATTGGATAAATTGTATTGATTTCGAACTGACACACATCCCCATTGTCTAGGCTCCTCCTCTCAAGTGATAGCTGGTATTTGTGGATATTGGATATCTACCATATCCCCCTAAATTGTCTTGGCATTTAAGACTATTGGGATTAAAATGCATGGCGTATTTTTCTATTTTTGCTAACCCTTTTGTTTGGATGAAGGAATTGAAAATTACATAGAACTCTAAAATGATGGAATTTAAATTTTCATTTCAATTTCTGGCAATTGAAGATTTTAGTATTTGATTTATATGTATATCAGATTTTGTAAATGACACTATAGAAATTGTAAAATGACGTATATTTTAGTGGAAATTAAACTAGGAAATTTTTTTTTGGGTCAGAAATTAAACTCGGAAATTTGATGCCCCAATTTTCACGATTTTTTCCACGCTTTATTAAATTCCGCGCTTAAGTTGCCAAACAAGGGAATTGTTAATTTCTCCTGGTAAATTCTTGACTTTTAGCTAAATTCTGAGTTATTTTCTCTCTTCCAAACAGAGGGTAATTCTCTCATCATTGTAATCCTTTGCCCTTTTTATTATTATTTATATTATTTATATTTTTTAAAAGTACTTGGAAGGACATTCTGATAAGCATGTTTTATTTCATATTCTTTACCCCTAAATGTTATTTATTGAAACATAGAAAGAACAAAGACCATATTTGAGATATTTACAACATGTGCCCTTGGTTTGAAACGGTGTCTATGCGAATACCACTCTTACATTTCCTTTTTTACCTACATAAGCTTTACCGCGCTATTATCGGAGTGTATTTAGAGCCTTTGCTACAGTTCTTGCTCTGGTGCTTGCACCAATGCTCTCCCGTCTCTTGCTGTCCGTATTTTGGTATGTACCTTGGTGTTGTGATTGTTTGGTATTTTCTCTTAGGTGCAATGTCAGATTCAGGTGTGATGGAGAAGACGATCTGTGGAGGAATGTTTTAATGCTAATGTGTTTATGCTTTGTAGGGAATTTCTCTTCTTTGCAGAAGATCGGTTTATTTAGATGCTGACCTAGTGTGTTCTCCTCCATGGCAGAGATTCTACGTATTGATTTTAAGATTTTTTGTTTGGGTGTAATTTGGGGATGAATGTGGGTGATGCTAGGTATTGTTACAATTTTTTTTTTCAATTTAATCTTTTAGGTGCGATTTGGAGCATCATTTGTAGGTATTCAATTCTTCTTTTAATCCAAGAAATCTTTAGTTAGATCATGAATATGTGGATTAACTCTAGATTATTTTTGGTTCTGTAATTAAGCATCAACTATGTACAGGAGTCTTGTTCTTTATGTATTATTTTTGTGGTTTGTTTCAGGATTTAAAGTCTGTAGCATTTATCTGGATTATTTTCCAGTTGCAGTTGGCATTTTCTTCAGCATTCTAGATGGCACTTGAACTGTAATTTTATGGCAGAAGGTTGGAGGAACTTGAAGCGCAACAAAGTGAGGTGAGGAATAACCTCTTCCAAGATATGTTGAAAGATCAACCGAGCTCATCATGTTTCATCAGTTGGCATCTAACATGTATATTGGTTCCTTTGGCAGGTCTTTTTGGTAAGGGAGGACCACAAGCTTCTATTATAATTAATTATAAATATGAATTGACACCTGAAAATTTGTGCCTTTTCAAAAGACAGAAGACAGAAGATAGAAGACAGAAGCCTAGATCAAGTTCCTTGGTCAATAAGTCTTTTCTCCGCTAGTGGGACTATTGGGACTATTAACTTGTAGGAAGTTTGCCTTGGAGGACAAATCATTGAGTGCTACTTTGATGCAGATTTTGTAAAAGATCGTGAGGATAGAATTAAGAAAAGTTGTGAGTAGCGTGATTGATGGCATGAGTTTGAAATTTCTGGAAAGAAGTTTCTGGACATCACTTACAATTCCCACAATATCCAATAGCACATTAGCAATAGAAGATTTGTAATCTTCAAATTCAAACCTTCAATATTTTCTTCCATTATACGTTCGCGTCAAGTTTAGAAACTAAATCACTTCTATCATACTTCTCAAAGACAAATGAAAGGAAGGAACAGAGAAGGTTGAATTATGCAAAGCAGAATGGTTTGGCAGCTTTATATAAGGGACCACATGAAGAATGTTAACAAAGAATGATAATATATTCACAATCATCAAAGGCATATTGATATGTAGAATCGTACTGGCCGCTATAGCCACCTTGATTGGTTTGGCCACCAAAGCTATTTTGATCATTTGAACCATTTTGGTTCATAGGATCATATCTGCCAATATAGTTGTGCCCATCATATTGGTCACCAAATCCTCCAACATAGTTGTGCCCACTATATTGGCCACCAAATTGACTACTTGAGCTATATTGGTTGTTAGGCCCATCTTGATGGGTAAAATTATATTGGCCATAGTGTTGGCCGACGGATTGGCTATTCGAGCCATAAGAATCATAGCCGTTGTAGTTCATCGGCTAATAGGAATGTTGTCATTCCTTTCGGTCGCTCATAGAGTGTGTCCCACCGGGCGTGCCAAATTATATTTCCCTCTTTTCGGCCGGGGAGGCCGACGGAAGGAACTTTTGGTCCTCCTTCTTTTTTGAGTGCGGGGCGTGCCACCACCAAGCCCCGAATCTGGGCTTGAATGGAATGTGAGTAGATGGATGTGTTGCGTCCGAGATCTGACTTTAACCAAACGATTATTCGGTAGAGCAAGGAACCTCCTCATGGCCTAGGTTCTTTCACTACCTCGGGGTCAAGGCTTTATATGAGCGACCAAATGATGTGGAGTTGGTGGAGATGAAGATTGAAGGTGAAATGTAATGAAACGAAGAATAAGTGCGTAAAGTAAAGGTGCTTAAACTTAAATATAATTTAAAAACAAATGCGTAAAGTAAAGTGCGAAAGATAAATAACGTAAAGACGAGAACTAAAGTGCAATAAAATGAATCAAAGCGATATATAAAGCAATAACGAAATGAAAGCGATAAGAACAATAAAGTAAAATGAACTTGAAATTAAACTTAAGTGGAAGTGCGATAACAATGATTTGTTTTATTCTTAAAAAATGGCCTTTCAAATCAAAACGCTTTTATGCCAAGGCATTTCTCATAAACTGGCTTAGTGGAGATGTTAGCTAGTTGCTCTATGACCGGTGTGACAATACACGAATTCAACTGTTTTAGTTTTGCTTCACATGGTCCCTAAGAAAAGGAAACTTTATAGATATATGTTTGATTCTTATCTCATGTTCTACTCTTTTCTTTGCAAAATTACTTGCAGATTTTTCGTCCGTGGTCACTGTTCTTGTGGATGATTTGATGCCTCTAGCAGATTCCTCAGTCATATGTCCTCCAATATAGCAAAAGAAACAACCACATACTTTAAATCACATAAACCATGATGAAGACAAGGCTA